TCTGAGCTTGTGGAGCTTGCTTAGAAATGGCTTCCTCTTTGCACTGTAGAGTTTCAGCTGGCAACGGCGGATGGCACGGTGGATTGTGTTCACTGACAATGCTTTCTGGAAGTATTCCTGAGCCCATTCTGTTATTTCCTTGACAGTGCCATTCCTGTTTGAAGTGCAGTGACGTTTGAGGGCCCGGAGATCATGAGCATCCAGTAGAGTTTTACGGACTTGACCGTTACGCACAGCGATTGTTCCAGATTCTCTGAATCTTTTGATGATGTTATGCACGGTTGATGATGATAACTCAAAAGTCTTTGCTATTTTACGCTGGGTAACACCATTCTGGTATTGCTGCACTATCTTTCTGCGCAACAATGGTGGAATTGGTGATCCTCTTACCATCTTGGCTTCTGAGAGACACTGACACTCTGAGAAGCTCTTTTTATACCCAATCATGTTGTCAATTGACCTAATTAATGTTAATTGGTCTTCCAGCTGTTCGTTATATGCTCAATTTCCTTTTGCCAGCCACTTATTGCTACTTTTCCCAACTTTTTTGGGATTTGTTGACACTGTGAAATTTTGGATCAACATATTTTTCCTTTAAAATGTTGCATTTACTCAGATTAAACTTTTGATCTGTCATCTATGTTATATTACGAATAAAATGTTGACATTTGCCATCTCCACATCATTGCATTCAGTTTTTATTCACAATTTGTTTAGTGTCCCAACTCTTTTGGAATTCGGTTTGTATATTTTTTCTCAAGTTTTAGTTTTATCTTCTTCATTGACAAAAACAGTTTTGCAAAGTAAAAAAATAAAAAAAATAAATTTGTGCAGAGGATTGTTTATTTTACCTGTATGGAAGGCGATCATGTAAGCCACCAGTTTATGGAAGGTGAGGTTTCGATCTAATTGACGAGCTGCTGTCCGGCTGCAGCACTGTCAAGTCAAGTCAAACTAAAGAGTCAGTCTGATCGTAAACATGAAGCTAAATCAAAGCTGAGTGAATGTATTTTACCTGGATGGTACCTCGAAGTAAAGAGAGCAGGTTTCTGCAGACCGGCAGCAGGATCAGCAAGCAGTTAAAGTTGAGGCACGCAGCAGGAGCTCTGGCCCAGGGCAAGGCTTGCTGCGGACCAGAAATCAAACAGGAAATGCGAGTTATTTACATAAACAAGTAAGAAGAATACAACTCAAACTCTGTCACCATTAGGCCTTTTTAAAATACTCGTTGCAAAACATGAAATCAAAAGCTGAGTGCTGAATGACTGAAATGGTTTTTAAAGCTAAAAGAAACAGAAAACCATCTAGAGGACGCACAAAACTAGCTCAAAGCTAAAAGCAGCAAAACACTAGAAAATAACTTCAAATAAAAAAGCATGCAAAAAGCTAAAAAGCAAAAGGTTGTTTAAGAAGTAAGTGACAAAGCATTAGCTAAATGTTGCAAAGCACTTGCTACACCTATAGGCTAATAAAACAGTAGTAAAACATTAGCTTAAATAAAAGGCTACATAACTAAAACTAATAAAAAGCTAGTTATAACTTTTTTTTTCTTCTTTCGGCTGCTCCCTTCTTTAGGGGTCGCCACAGCGAGCTAAGCCGCACGAAGACTTGGCAGTTATTTTTACACCGGATGTCCTTCCTGACGCAACCACAGACACCGAGCTACCACAGCCCTCTGTGTGGAGCAGAGAGCTGCTATCTAGGACACCCAGAGGAGCAGATGGTGGGGGTTAAGGGCCTTGCTCAAGGGCCCAGAGTGGGGCAAATGAGGGCGGGGCCAGGTGTGGGTGCCCCACCCACATTTTTGATGTTGTCAGTACTGGGGCTTGAACCAGCGATCTTCCTATCACAGGCCCACCTTCTCTAACCTCTGCGCCACCACTGCCCAAATTAAGCTAGTTACAGCCTAAGATTAAAAATGCTTGCTAAAAGACGAAAATGTCTAAATGTAATTAGTAGTAAAACACTAGCTTAAATGCTAAAAATACAACAATAGCTAATAGCAAAACAATAGTTAACAGCTAAAACTAAAAAAGCTAGCAAAAAAAGGTCAACATTAGCCTAATTTTATAAATAGTAAAATGCTAGTTAAAAGTAACAAAAGATTAACTCAAATATAAAGTAACAATACACTTGGGAAAAAATGTAAAAATGCTAACAAGAAAACTAAAAACAGCTAAATGATAAAGCTATAAAAGCTAACAGTAGCAAAGATTTAACTAAACTTGAGAAAGCACTTGCGTAAAGCTAAAGGCAACCGAAGACTTCCTCATGAGGGAGTTTTTCCTTTCCACTGCCGCCTTCGTATATATATATATATATATATATATATATATATATATATAATAAACTGAATTGTAAGACGCTAACTATTTAGCTAACAGTAGCAAAACATTGCTTGATGTTAAAAGTAGTACAAGGCTAGCTAAAATCTGAAAGAATGAAAAGCTAGCTGAAAACGGCTTAATGTGAAAAGTAGCAAAAGACTAGCTCAATGGTAATAGTAGCAAAATGTTAGGTGAAGCTCATTTTGTGTTCAGGTTGACTCCATAATGTACTTTTACGCTCAACCAGAATGCAAAGCCAACATGGCAAACACGAAAACGGCTCCGAGTCATTTCTCAACAGAACCTTAGTCTAAAACTGTGATGTCTTCAAGGAACACTGGGATATGAGAATATCATACACCATTGTAGTGGACTAGGCCCATGTCAAAAACTAAGTCTAAGGTCAAAAATCTTGACCTTAAGAACCTTGTGGGACAGGAACTGTCATTTCATTGATTTGAATCCAGAAATACAGGTTCACCCATCCTGAGACTTTCTTTCTTGAAGATTCAAGTGAAAAGAACACTCTCTTTTTATTATCATTACTATTTTACAAATGTTGATAATCAAAATGTCTTAGTTCAAACCATTTTAGATGTTGCAGTGAACTAATCAATTTTATTAACTGAGTAATGATTTTTATTCTCATGTCAAAGCTGTAACAGAGTAATTATGCCTTTTCTGATTTCTGCTTTTGAATGAGCAAGTGTAAGTTGGTCCAAGGTTGGAGTCAAACGCAAAACAAGTTGTTATGTTAAAACTGTCATGTTTTTAGAATCCTCTCAGACGTAATATAGAGGTTTTTGGCACCTGTTTCTGAAACGCGCCAAAACAAAACTCTCTCTGTCTGTGAGAACATTTCTGATCTTTCCATAACAATTCTTGCTTTTCGTCTAACCTCTTACGTCACAAAACACACCCCGTCTGGTTGTTTCTGACCAATGGGGATACTCCCAAAAGTGAACCGGAAACAGCTCTTTAAAATGTCAGTACTTCCTGGTCTAGTCATGTTCTGATGGAGTGCTGTTGGAGTTCTGCTGGATACACAGTCCAACCAGTTCTGTTCATGTCTCTGCTCGGATGCTGTTTCTGCCCAGTTCTGTTCTGAGAGTTCAGTTCTGTTGAAGCTCTGGAGAAGTTCTGTTCTGTTCAGTTCTGCTCAGTTCTGTGAGAGACGGGATGATCCTGACATGACAACAAGCTCTTCCGAGTTCCATGGGAATATAACACTTTCACTCGCCACTACTTCTGACGAGCTACAGCCATACTAAGGAGACGCTGGACAGGTAGCGTTAACGGAACACCATATCTGCTGATTATCATCAGAAAGGTAATGGGTCAAGTTTCCTACCAAGCGTACCGAGGCGAGCTGGGTTTCTGATGGAGAGTGTCGGTTCTGGTGAACACTTACTTCCCCTCACACACCCTCTCACTCCCTCTTAACTTCTTTCATCTTTAAACTTTTCTCTCAAGTAGAAATTCTTCCAGATATTTTAGAAATGTCTGTGTAAAATGCTCACCCACATCCATGTGGGTAAAAGATCATAATTGTACAGTTTTCATAAATGTCTGTGGTGAAGCAACGGAAAAATCATGGCCGTATGATTTTTCCTGATTAATTGCTTATGTTGTTATTTTCATAATTTGCCAAATTAATGTAAATGTTTGATGTTAAACTTTGATTCTGTAAATAAATGACCGCATTCATTTTGATGGGTCAAACATAAATGACGTCTCACGTTTGCATTTCCTTAAATTCAATACACGTTTTATTCAGTCCAGAAAAATGAGGAATCCATGTTAAATGATGAATATATCCGAGCATCTGTTCATCTACACCATCATTATCATGTGATAATGAAAAACACCAGCGGTGAGGAGGGGGAGTCTGGGGGTCCTCCCTCAGAATATATTGAATAAAGTAGATGTGATTTCCCTCATTTTGGTGTATTTTAATGGGTTGTTAAACATCTACGTGCTTGTAAAAAAATTAGAATTTATTTTTGTTTATTTGTTGACACCAAAACTGAGATTCGTGGACTTTGGGGATCCGGGGACCCCCAGTTGGCGAACCACTGGTTTAAGCTATAAGAAAAACAAAAATTCTGTGTTTTTGCATCAGTCCATCTTAGTCTACTTTTTTTTTTTTTTGCTCTGCAGCTTTTATGTTTTATTTTCAAATTTCCAATTTATGAAAAGAGGAAGAAATGGAAGACGTTGCTGCTCACTGGTTCAGAAGCTTCACGCAGCTGCTGCGTTTTGAGGAAATGAAAAGTCCCGCTTCTTGACTCGTTTCATCTTTTCCTACAGTTTTAATGACATGGTGTTTCCGTCTGATGAAGCTTTGCTCTTTTGTCATTGAGTGTCAAACTGGACTCACCCCCAGCAGCACCCGAGTGTAGAACCAGCGCTCCACCAGGAACGCCATGTAGAAATGGACAAACAGGAAGGCGTTGATTCCCAGCCAGACCAGCTGCAACAACAAATGTTCAATTTAGCATCAGTTTGGACAAACGAAAATAGTTTTCTTTTCCCATGAACTGATACAATGTTCTAGTTTCAACATTTAAAACATTTTCTATGTTCTGTTGTGAATAAAATGTGAGTTTATAAGACTTGTAAACCATTACATTCCACTAAACTTTTCAGAAGAGTGATGGAAACTGTATTTTACTGGTTTTTGCACTGGTTTTTGCACCAATAATCTGATGTTGAAATCAAATTAGAGTATTTAGTTTAATTTCAGAAATACATCCTAAATAGTTTGACCAGTGGCAACAAAAACCAGTAAAATAAAAAGATGTTTGTATCTAATTAATACGACTGAGTATAAAAAACATTTTAAAGGATGAATCTCTCAGACGTTAAGGCTTACTTACTTTTACACCTATTGTTGCCCCTGTAGCAACTTTTTGTTGATCAAATTCTAAATTATTGTTTTTTTCATAAAAGAGTAATTTACTAGTTTACTATGTTTCACTGTAAATCAAATACTGTACAGGTTTATGAGATTTGAAAATTATATTTACGTTTAACCCAACATTTACATAATTTGGGTTGTATGAGGAAATGTTGACATCTCAGATGGTCCCAGTTTCTGTAGGTGTCGTTTGTATTTGACATCCATCCATCCATCCATCCATCCATCCATCCATCCATCCATCCATCCATCCATCCATCCATCCATCCATCCATCCATCCATCTATACATCCATCCATCCATCCATCCATACATACATACATACATACATACATACATACATCCTCCATACATCCTCCCTCCATACATACATCCATCCATCCATACATCCATACATCCTCCCTCCATACATACATGCATACATACATACATCCGCCATACATCCTCCCTCCATACATACATCCATCCATCCATATATCCATACATCCTCCAT